TAAACACAGAATGACAAGTGGGACTTTGTGGTCGAGCCACAGGGAGGAGCCATGATGAGACATTACAGAGAGGAAACAAGGGGGATTCTTGCTGTGTGCCGGGTCACAGATCATCTGGGACATAGTGGGGGCTAGGGTGGGTAGATACTGGCCCTTGCTGACTTAGAAGAATTCCTTTTGGGTTTCTGTTTCCAGAGACAGGGTCTCACTCTAGCCCAGGCTGTCCTAGACCTCACTAGAAGCACAGGCTGGTTTTGAACCCACAGCAATCCTCCAATTTCAACTTCTCAAATGTTTGGATTACAGACAGGAGTCACGTTCTAGGCTCAGAGTTCATGGTAAAGCTGAACCTCATAGACACGTGTAGGGAGGTTCAGGTACCTGAGGAAAGTCTGGCTAGCTGAAGGATTGTTACCACTTGAAGCAGTGTGGGCTAAAGGCCTTTTCCACCCAGGCTCTTCACTGGGGAGGGGACAGGCGGTAGGAGCTGAGGCTTCTGAGCCACACCTGTTGGTGGGTCCATTCCTACCTCTGCCCCATGCAAGTCACAGGGATTAAGGCCCTAGACTGGTCAGAGTACTTCAGGCCAGGTATTCCAAGGGCTGGGAGGCTGGTGATGCCACGGCCAGGGCAAACAAAGCCACTGCCAGGCAATGAGCTCATTAGAGGGTCAGACAAGGTAATGAATCTGCCCCCTGCAAAGTCACTCGTCTCAGTAACGTTCCCTGAAAACCTCTGTGTGTCCAGTACCCAGGGTGTTCAGGGAAGATATGGCTTTGTGGAAGGAAGCCCTGGCCCAGGCCGGACTTCAGGCAGGGACACTCAGGCAGGACTGGCCTCTTCCACTCAGACTGGAAACAAATTCCCCAAGTCCAGAGATCTCAGGTCTGGCTTCTGTGTGAGCACAGACATGTCCTTGCCCCTCACCCCTGCGACCCTCACCTCGTCCTGGCAGCACAGACTCTCCCCAGAGCTCTAACCGGTGAGGAAACTGAGGTAGGGTGACAAGAACTATATCTGCCCTGGCAGGAGCTCAGACATTCTAAGAGGTGCCTGCACTCCCACTTGGCCAGATTGTTTGAGCAGGGAATTCGAATTTTCCCAGAAATTTTATGCTGGAGGCAGGGAAAGTCTGGTGCCAGCCAGCAGGAAACTTCTCTCCCAGAAAGAGATTGCAGAAAGCGCTGACAGCGTGTCAGATGACCCTGTGGAGCTGAGGAGCAGCAAGTCACCGTGCAGTAGTGCCCAGGACCACATTAGGCAGGGTGGCCTAGCTGTGCATTCTGCATGCTCTCCAGAGATGGCCTGGGGTGTGTGTCTCTAATTGTTCCTCTTCTTCTCGTCACCCCGCTTGATGTATAACGTGTCTCTGCTTTTCAGTATTTACATATCGCTTTGTTGAGAATGACCTTGTTTTTCTCCGAGAAACAGGGCCACCAGAGGTCAGTGTAGGAGCTGGGGTCCTGAGCCAGGCTGAGACCTACCAGCTGTGCCCTGATCCTGCCGCCTCCAGCTCTTGTCACTCCCTTGATTCTCCCACCACGTTCACGGGGCAGTACCAAGACTCTGGGGCTGCACAGACGGCCACCTCCTGTCTGCCACAGCAAGGCTAGCCAGGTGGCTTCAAGGACTCTGTGTGCAAAGTCGCTTCACCAAGAACTAGGTCAGCTTGAAGTTGGCTGGATACACGGAGAAGGCAGAGCTCCACATCACAAGGCCGGAGCTTGGGGTGCTTGTGCCCTGATACTCCTCCTGAGGACTGTGAAGCGAGCCCCCCATTCTCCAGGAGTTCCCCAAACTCCCTTTTCTCTGAAGCCACCAGAGCCCCTCTAACATGGCTGAATGCTCTCCTGGCTCCCAATTGCTCTCCAGCTCTGGGAAATAAAGCCTTCGTGACCACCAGGGTTTAATAGCACAGTGGCGACATTTAAGTCATACAAAGAGATTGCCCTATCTTGATCCCTGCCCGGGAACTCCAGGTGTTCCCACTCCACCCGCCTCGTTCAGGAATTAACGAGCAGAGGGTCACTGACTGCCCTTTCAGGAGGTCCCGCCTGGATGCACAGGGCTAGAGCAGGGCCAGATGGGGACAATCCTGTAGCCAGGCTCCTGGTGCCACAGTGCCTAACCTCGGCCTAGTCTAAGTCAGCCCCTCTATGCTGGGAGCTAAGGGCTGACAGGCTCTGAGAAGCCCGCAGGAGGGTCAGAGGCCAGCCTGCTCTCTTTCCTTCTTCTGTGTCCAATTCTGCCCCTGACCTTCACCCATTTTTTTTTTCTTTTGAAGGCACACCTCCGAGTAACCATCAGTCAGGGTTGTCTGTTCTCCCACAGCTTTCTACCTCCAGACCTCAGCATTTGTTGCAGCCTCGCCACCCCCACCAGACCTAGGCCAGGCTTACCCCTCCCCCGCGTGGTACTGGGTCATGATCCCAGGGCCCCAGGCCTGTGTGAGACAAACGCAACAGCCCCAGGCCGTGCCACCTGCTTCTTGAGCTCGGAGGCTCGGGACTGTGCACTCACACTTGTCTTTCGGCTCTCATAGCTACAAACCCACTCTGGACCCCACTCTCCGAGCCTTCTCATGCACCCCATGGATTCCTGCCTCAAGTCTCAGACCCCACAGATTGCTGCCGCAAACCCCAGACCCCGCGTCTGCAGTCTTATCAATGGACAAACCTGGGACCCGCCGCAGAGGCTCAGTGTGTAACTGGGCTAATTCACAACACCCTGACTAAAATACAGAAACACTAAATTGTTCGCCTCTCTGCACGGGGCCCTCCGCCTATAACATTGTCACCGCTGGGCTGCAAGCTCAGAGCCCTGTCACCCTCAGCCCCTCTCTCCCAGTTGCTAGGCTTCCTGGTGCAGACTCAGTTAAGAGAAGGTAGAGCCCCTCTGGCCACACAGCCTGGAAAGCAGGCCTGGGACAGGAGTTCAGGACATTTTAGTAAGCAGCATTTTAACTAGGAGTTTGGGGAGGGGCATGGTTAATGGGCTCTAGAGTTCATCTGGACCAAATACAGGTGGTCCCAGGGACACAGGGAACTCAGCGAGCATAGGGTGAGTCTGAGAGGCCAAATGCCACATTCTCATCTCCTGACTCTAGAGAATGATGGAGTGAAATGAATGAACTAGAGGAGAAACATGTGGCCCTCTACCCAGCTGCCCACAAACAGTAGACAGCACCCCCGGACTCCTCTGCGTATATGCACATGTGCAGGGAGAGGGGCAGAGGCTAGCCTCTCCGCACCTGGGCATTCAGAGTAAGGTTTCCTCCCAGCACTGCTGGATCCATGCAGCGCCCTTTCTCCTTATAATTTTCTTGGGAGGTCCCAGGGCACGGAGCACCCAGAGTGCTAACAAGGCCCCAGGAGTACAACGAGAACGCTAGGCGGGAAGATGCTGCCCTCTAGAGGGATGTATAACCCACTGCGCCACACACAAGTGCAGGGGTGGCAATGAACCAGGGCAGTAGTGAGAGGCTCCACAGAAAGCGAAAGGATAATAAAGACAGTCGGGGATGAAAGGTTAGCAAGGGCAAGAACTTGGCCAGGGTGGGTAGGAGCGGTCAAGCCTGAGCATCCACATAGTTATTCCCTCACCAAACATTCAATACGTTTAGCAACACTAAGGACTTAGCCCAGTGCCAGACTCAACCCAGAAGAGCCAGCCATGGGCTCAGGTGCCTCACTGTGGAGGAGGGGCAGAGAGTCATCTAGAATCAGTGTAATGGTACGTGCCTACAGTCCCAACTGCTCTGGAGGCTGACGCAGGAGACACCTGAGGACAGGAGTTCCAGACCTATCCAGGCAACATAGCAAGTCTTTGTCTCCAAACTAAACAACAACATGCTGGAGAGTTGGCTCGGTGGTTAAAGGCACTTGTGAAAGACCAGGATTCAGTGCCCGTTCCCAACATCCACCTGGAGGCTCACTGCCTCCTCTGGTTGCGAGCATATATGTGGTACAGAGACGCACATGCAGGCAAAACACTCATACACATGAAATAATAAAAAAAAATCTTAAAAAAACTAAACAAAAGCCCAAGCCAGTTGGGGATGTATCTCAGTTGAGTGGCTCCTGAGCAGGAATGAAGTCCTGGGTTTGTCCCTAGCACCGACGGTATAAACTGGGCATAGTGACACACACCTGTAATCCTAGCACTCAAGGGGCAAGAGGATCAGGAATCCAAAGTCATTCTTGGCTACATACAGAGTTTGAGACCAGTTTTAGCTATAGGAGACCACGTTTAAAAGACAAAATGTCTGCCACGTGGTGATGGTACACACCTTTACTCCCAGCACTTGGGAAGCAGAGGCAGGAGGATCTCTGAGTTCAAGGCCAGCCTGGTCTACAAAGTCAGTTTCAGGACAGTCAGAGCTGTTACACAGAGAAACCCTGTTTTCAGCACCCTGCCCCCGCCCCCGCAATGTTGTGAAAGTTACTTGCTTGTGGTCGAGGTTCCTGTTACTAGCTGCGGCTCTTAGGTGGTCAAGGAAGGCTCCGTGTAGCAGTGGAATAAGGAGAAACTCAGCAGAGGGCAGGGGCACCGGGTTTTTCTATGTGAAGGCCCAGAGGGCTGGTTAGGTTGTTTGGTTACGTTAAACAGAATATGGGAGGACACAGGATGAGATCGGCCCGGGCGCAGCCGTCTCTAGGACTAGGCACATGCTAGGGTGAGGATGCCCCTCAGAAGGTTGGGGAGAGGGGCAAGAGTTTGGGGTTGGAGACGCCAGTGACAGGATGGAGTCTTGTGGCTGGATGTGGACTGCGGGAGACACGACACAAGAGATAGAGTAGTTAAAGTGGCTTGGGTTGGGGATGTAGAGCAGGTAGAGTGTTTGGCTAGCTTAAGAGTCTCTCTCTCTCTCTCTCTCTCTCTCTCTCTCTCTCTCTCTCTCTCTGTCTCTCTCTCTCACACACACACACACACACACACACACACACACACACACACACACACCACCTGTGAGTTGAAGGAGGAGGTTGATCCTTATCCAGCCCAGGCTTGCCCTGCTGTGGCCAGGACAGCACGGAGAGGTGAGGCGGATTTTGATTCTGGCCTTAAGGTGTCTTGGGCTTTAGCAGCCATTGCGCCATGTGCTATTGCCGCTGCCTAGAGACCAACCTAAGTCCCATATAGGGGCCCCAGCCTACAACATGGTCTCTAGGGCCAAGTTTCAATCCCCCTGCCTACTGGCACAGCTCTACTCCAACCCGCGGCCTCCCTGGAGGATCTGGCCCTGCCGGGATTCCCCCAGGCCTGGTCGTTCCCGCAGACGTCCCAGGAGCTCGTTCCCGCGGGTCCCATGGTCGCTAGGCTGCAGGCTGGGGCCCAGGTCCTCTCTGCTGCGTTGTCAGAGTGTGGTGCAAGTGGCAGCGCATGGCGGCAGAGCCCGGGCGCTCGTGGACTCAGGCTCGCACTGTGTACGGCGCTAAAGAGGCGCTGAGGCGAGGCATAGGCCGCCGGCAAGACCCCAGCGCGCAGCCCAACGGGCCGGTCCCCGAAGATATCCGCGCCCCGGGCCGCCTGGCTCGCCTGCGTGGCCAGCTGCGGGCCGAGCCGGCGGGGCGAGCCGAGGGGCCGCGGCTGCTGCGGTTGGTGGAACGCGCGGGCGCGCGAGCTGGGGCGGCGGGGACCAGCGAGAGGAGCGAGGCGCGCAGCGGAGGCTCGGTGTGCTCGGTGTGCGGGGAGCCGCGCGGCGGCGCCACCTATCCCGCTGGTGTCCTGGAGGTGAGCGAGCGGCGGCTGCAGGAGGGACTGGCGGCCGTGCGTGCGGAGCTGGGCGCGGGGCTCGAGGCGCTGCGCGCGGAGCTGCGGACCGAGCTAGACGCTCTGCGAGCTCTCCTGCCGCCGCCGCCGCCGCCACCGCCGCCCGCTCGCCGCGAGCCCCGCGGTCCCGCCCTGCTGCGGGCCCTCGGCACCGTGAACGCGTTGGTTTCAGCCTCGAGGGCCACGGAGAACGGTCCGGACGCCCCAGCCGACGGCCTGGCAAACCGAGCCGTGGCCCGGAAGAACCACAAGAAAACCCCAGTGCCTCCAACGGCTGCACAAGGCGGAGGAGATTGAGGGGCTCTGGCGGCCCCAGAAGGGAGCAAATTGGTCCTCCTATACGGACTCCCCAGATGCCGCCAATGATGCTCCATTATTTAAAGGGCTGGCGGCAGAGGCTGCGTAGATGGCTTTGCGCTACCCCGGACTGAGGCTGCTCTGTAGAGCCTGCTTTAGTCTTGAAGCCGAGGAAGAATCTGGACCAGAATGTGACTGCTATGGAGTTGGCAGAGCCAAGGGATCTGCAGCCTGGAAGCAAATGGTTGCACTTTTTTTTTCTTTCAAGTCCTAGGGGCAGGCAGGACCTCCATGCACTAGAATAGCACTGTGTAGCAGACTTTAGGGACTTAGGTAGCTGACACAGCGCCACTTGAATATTACACCTCTACATGGCATGACCCGGACATCAGTTTGCTAGCCACCACTACTTTCTGATAATGGGGCCACTCTCGCACCGTAGCGTCACGTTGTCAGTATCCTTTGGACTCAGCCTCGGACCATGATAAGAACACAGCCCTTCACTCAGCCCTCCCAACAGTCACCCAGCACCAGCTTCTCTCTAGAAAACATTCCACAGGGTACTAATTTCCCCAGAGTGTCACCAGGAGTGGCTTCATAGCACTTTGTCACCAAACGCAACCAACTTAGTGCCTTCTGCTGGAGCCTACTTTTTCTCAAGGACTGGCTTGGGGTCGCAATGAGGATCATCATTTTAATGCAAACCCCTTTTTTGGTTACCCAGCTTGTTTTTAAAATAAATGTAATTTCTGGTATAGGTGGCATTTTTGAGATGTATTATTTTTCTCCCTTCCCGTTGACTGTGAGATTCAAAATAACATGTTAATGCAGGTGGGTGTCAGAGTTGCGTAGCTGAGTGGGTCTCAGTTTTGGAAGAAGTTTCCATGATTGAGGTGGGCAAAAGGGCGGTCACTCAGGAGCCTCTCGGTTGTATGGACTTTGAGGCTGCAGTGAGGTTGGGGTTGGATTCTCTCCCCACTGACCCCTTGACCACTAGACACACGCCTCTTCCCAGCCACATCAGGCCAAAGTCACTCTGCATCATTTATTGTGGAAGCAGGAGTCACCCCTGGATCCTAGGGGCCCTGCCAGAGCCCGAGACCGACTCCCAAGCCCAAAAGAGCCAGGTGCAAACAGGGCAGGATCGGGACTGAGGACCGGATGGATGCTCCAGGAGAGGCCCATACCCTGCGCGCTCCAAGAGGTTGCTGGGGGCGGAAATTATCCATGAGCGGTCTGGGGTGCAAACCTGGTGGCCCAGTCTGGGGCACGGTCTGGAACTGGGCTACCTAAGGGTGGGTAAAGATAGGTCAAGATGCCACGGGGTGGGCAGAGAAGGCAGGGGTGGCAACTGAGGCTGTGGGAAGGAGCCTGGCATCGGGTAGGGGTAGTGGCTCCCACCTGCGCGTGCCCAATGGGTACGGGGTTTTCAAAGACTGTCCAGAGCACGGCTGGCTGGCAGCCTGGCGTGGTCAGAGACCCGGAGTATCGGTAGTAGCGCAGGAGCCCCAAGGCACTTGGCAGCAGGGAGGCCAGAGGGAAGGATGTCAGGTTCACAGAGACCCCTGTGTGGCGGGAGAGAAGCTGGAACACCCCCCGCCCTGCTTTTGTTCCTCACCCACCTACCTTCCAGCCCAGATGGGACCCTGCAGCTCCTTACCAGGTGAAGATACATTTTTTAGGGTAGACACAATGGCAGAGAAATTGGTATTGTCCCTGTCCTCCTCCTGGGGAGAATTCCAGTGAGAAGGGCTTCGAAGTTGTGTGTATGTGTGTGTTTCCAAAGATGAGACAGGATAGTTGGGACACCAGTGGGAAGGGCTCAGATGGACGGTCTGGGAGATCTTGGGGTGGAGCGAGGAAGGTCTCTTCCCACGATGTCCATCAACACTCCATTGGCCCCCACCCCCTGAAAATTCCCTAAGTCCAATGATGCCCACAGACTTCAAACAGATCCCTGCTCTCCAAGACCCTCTTTCGGGAAACAAGCACGGCCCCTTCCTCACCACTAACAGCACAGCCAGCACGGCGAGCCCATCCTGGTGGCGTTGTGCCTCCCTCAAATCCTGGTACTTCGTGTTCATGTGGAGCATGTGCATCTAGGAAATACAGACCACAGGTGGTGTCCGGCTGCCCTCTGCTTCCTAAGCCCACCTTCCTTCTGGTCATCTTGAACCCACCTCCATAGAGCAGTGCTTCTCATCCAGGCTGTGCTCTGAGCCTCTGTGCCCTGGGCTGCCCCAGTGGAAATGCAGCTGCAGCAGCCGGTACCCTGGTGATGGCAGCCCAGCCCCTCGGATCACCGGGCAGCTCTGCTGACAGGAATTTACTCGCAGTATCACTGAAGGTGGAGGAGTATATGAGTCTATCCCTCCCCAGCAGACTCCCCTGCTGTGGAAATCAAACTGCCCCCAGCAGGGCAGTTATGAGGGTCTTGATTTCTTTCCAGCATCTTGACATCTAGGTGTGAAACTGGCCATGTCAAGTTTCATTTATAGGCAGGTTCTTGCCACCTCCCTACAGTGTGTGTAGAGCCTCCTCTGCTTTGTTCATGAGGATTTAGATTCTCATGTGTGTCACATTCTCATAGCTTCTTAGGTCTGTCCATTTGTGTGTGTTGGGAGGGGGTGGGGTAGTGAGATCTTTAGAGAAGCTGCTTTCTCAGCTCCTCTGAGTGTCCTGATCCCTGTGTATGGGTAAGATTCCTGAAAGCTGCGAACTTCTTGGCTCTGTGTATTTGGTCCTGACCTTATGATGCTGACCTGTATGGCCATCATTCTCCAGGGTCCACGGGTCTAGAGGTGCTGCTGAATCATAGCCTTGAAAGATAAAGGGCTCAAGAGTGTAGTCCCGCTGGACCAAGTGAAGGTCAATGTTGATAGGGGACTGGGCTGGACCCCCACAAGCAGGTGCTAGCTCCTTCCAGTGGATAGGGCCTGAGGAGACAAAGCCTGAGATCTATCTGCAGCAGGGCCAAGGCAGCTGTCTGGGAATGCACTGAGGGTGGATCCCATAACCCAAACATCCCCAGCTGAGGACTGTCTTCTCTCCATCCTCCCTCCACAAGTGGTCACAGTGGCTCTCTAGACCCATCTGACTTAGCTACTGGGCGAGTCTGCAGACAGACTGCCCCATACACAGGGTAGACAGATGTGGGATATGACTCATGTTGGGGAACCCCCCCCCCAGCCACACCCATAGGCTCACAGACCCTGACCATGGACTACAGCAGGCACACATGATGACAGTGTGCCTGCTGCTTAGTGCCCAGTCCTTAGGAGCATAGGAGCTAGTAGAGACCGCACAGATCCACATAGCCTGTCACACTGTCCTCACCGCACTTTGGGTCTTGGGAGTCATAGCACCAGGTACCTGCAGGCAGGAGGCAAGGACTGAGCTATTTAGTCCACGTGGCACTTTAAAAGTTCAGTTTTGGCCTGAGATCAGGAATGGGGTCAGGCTAGCTAGGAGAGGTTGTTCCCCTGTCCGTCTCCTACACGGTGTCAGGGAGATCGAGCTAAGCCCACACAGGCAGAGCCTTGGTGCTCACCCTCGGAGTCCACCTGTGCCACAGGTTGCAAGGCAAGAAAGCAGAGCAGGAAGTCCGGGGCCCACATGATGCAGCAGTGGCTGTGACTCTGGAGAACTGAAAACTGGACAAGAAATGTGTGCCCAGGCTACTTGAAAAGCTGCTCATTCATGCGGAGGCGGGGCTGTAGAGGGCAGGAGTGGGTGGGGCCCAGGTAGGGTCACTAGGAACAGAGGTGGGCTGGAGCTGGTCTAGGGCTGCGTCAGCCAGTGTAATAGCATTCATTCTGAAGGCTGTCTGATTATTATTCTCTTACAGCAGAAGCAATGGGAGACAGGGACCCGGGGTGATATGCAAAGCCACTAAGGGCACTTTGGAGACTAGTGACCAAGACTAAGAGGCTAGGGAAAGAAGGCATGAATGTTTCCTGCCTTATTACAAACTCAAGACTTCAACCTGTCCCAAGTCCAGGTCCACAGCTGCCTTCCTGCCGATGCTCCTGTCTGAGGATCACTCTGCTAAGTCTTGGGAGAAGCTGCAGCCCTTCTGTGGTGGGGATATCGCAGTAGCTCAAGTCCCCTTGCCCAAGTCTCAGGCACTCTGGAGACCATGTGCCTGTAGGTATGAGAAGATTTGTCCTACTCATGATTACCAGGGAGCAGGCTGGAGGCCTGTCCCTCTGGGTATGCCAGTACTCAGCATCTCCTTCCCATTGCCCCAGGTAGTGCAGTGGAAGAGCACTTGCTTAGCATGTGTCCCTGGATTTATCCTAGCGCTGCAAAAACAAAGATAGCAATTGCTGGAGGACCAGATTCTTCCCAGACGTGTTGAGGGATTGAAGCTCCCAATTCCAATCAAAGGACTCAGCAGTTCCTTCCTAACCCTGACCTCTTGTCAGACTGTGAGAGCCTGTTCTGTCATTGCCCTTCCAAGCTAGTGGGAAAGGCTGTTAGGACAGCAAGTTTGATTACAGCTCTAACTCTTGTTCCTGGGTTCCGATCACTGAGGGCTCCTGCATGCACGTGGTACACATAAATATATTCAGGCACAAGCGTGCGCGCGCATACACACACAAAGTATAAAAACTAAAATACGATGTCAGGCATGGTGCTGCATGCCTTTAATCCCAGCACTCAGAAGGCAGAGCCAGGCAGATCTCTGAGTTTGAAGTCAGCCTGGTCTACAACAGTGAATTCCAAGACAGCCAAGGCTAGCAGAGTTTCAAAAACAAAAACAAAACAAAGCAAAAAAAAAAAAAACAAAAAAACAAACAAAAAACCAACCCCCGCAAAAAAAAAAAAAAAAAGAAAAAGACAACTAAATTATTTTTTTTTTTAAAGGAAGGTAAGCTTAAGGATTCCTTCAAGAAACTACTATCAAGAACCCCGGTGTACCATAGAAATGACAGTAGTAAACACTGCCACCTGGAGCCTGCCGTGCTTTCTCTGTTCCCACCCCAGGCCCCACCCCTGTGAGTAGGCTAAGTGCCAGAGTGGATGGGTGCAATCCCCACCCCCTTCAGGAGGGAGCCCAGCCCAAGTCAACAGGCCCTGCTAGTCTTTAGCACCTTTGGACTTCTGGAAAGACAAGACTACCCAATAATTTTATAGACGAGAATCTTCCCAGAGGACCTGAGCCTCTCTGGCCCCTGCAGGGAGGCAGGGTCCAGCCAAGCCTGGGTGTAGGTAGCTAGCCCAATCCTCTTAGAACCTAGAGCTGCTCTGCTGGAAGGGGCTGCTTACTCGATCTGAACGGCTAAGGGACCAAGTCCCATGTCCTTCTCTGCTCAGCCTAACTCACACTGGTCACCAGTAACCAGAAGGAACCAGCATGCCTGTCACTTTAGTAACACTTCAGAGGGAGCACAGGGTGGCCCTGCCATGTACCCTGTACAGACGTTCCAGGCCTAGCTGTCTGGTTCGTAATAAAAGGGTGTCAGAAGCCAGCTGGATGCCTATAAGGGCTGAAAACTTAGGAGAACTCTGGCTATAGGACTGGGCTGCAACAAGGACCGACCATGCCTTTTCCATAACACAAGTTTATTTGGCATTGGATGAAATGGTTCTCACAGCATCTTAAGAAAGGATTAATGCCAACCCGACCAAAAATACACCCAAACTAAAACCTTTAGTGAAAGGAATATGTAAAAACAGGCATTGAGACAATGTACAGAATCAAATTCCACCTCAAGGCAGGTCAGAGGGCACCCAGCCTCTCACA